GAGGTTAACAACTCATATGTTCAATATCAGATGGATGCGAATTACAAACTTATATGTAAGTTGTCGTCAGATGGTTGCGTCTGATGACTAATATGATGTTCTGAAGAACTTGTTTGATAGATATGTATGCAGTATAATGTCAGCAATAATAAATGAAAGTTTAGGGATAGAGAATACTGCACACAGATCTTTATAGTGGTTCGGCTTTATCAAGCCTACGTCTACTCTCCACACTGGCAGCCTGTTGGCTGTGTTTCACTATTGAATCACCAGAAGATTACAAGAGCAGTGCTTCTCCGATGATAGACTGCACTATCATGTATACTCTTCTCTCAAGTAATTTTCTTTCTAAAGTCACAACGTGGAATACAGTAATCACAAGTATGTAAGATCGAAGCTCTATTCAAACTTTGGAATTCTCGATTCTAGTTTTTTTTCTTGTACGACGTTTGCACTCTTTTTATACTCATCTCTATCCAATCTATCCGTTGGACAGTCTTCAGAAGATTGATCCCCAAATCAACCCATTAGAGAAACTTTCCAAAGGAAAATGTATAGCCGTTAGAAGAAGAACCGTTATCTCTAGGTGATTTGATCATTCATACAATCAAATCAAGGTTTCCATAAGTGTAGTTTTTCGTGTTTAAGGAACGATCTTGTGATTGCTAATTAGGATATTCTGAGATATCAATTTGATTATCCTGCATAAACTTGCCAAAAATAACACTTATTGAATCTGACGAGTAATTTTGAGTCTGTTGACAAAGTCCTTTTGTTGACTACGTCTGATGACTCAGCATATACCTGCATCAAATAACTTAAGTATAATTCTGGTCAGTAAAAGATTGTTTTGTCATTCTTCAAAACTAATTAGGGATTTTTTCTCAACACTTACCATTATTGATGAACGAAAGTACCTCTAAGCGCGCTCGGGTGCGGCGTGACACAAACCTTATGAGGAGTGCTCAAGAAGCCACTCTCTCTGCTTCCCTCTTAAATCATTCGGCCGACCCCTCACTCTCTCTCAATTTCACTCACTCTCTCTACCTTGGCCAAAACCCACTCTCTCTCTCTCTCTCTCTCTCTCTCTCTCTCTCTCTCTCTCTCTCTCTCTCTCTCTCTCTCTCTCTCTCTCACGCCATCTCCATCTTCATCTTCATCCTAATTTCACCTATTATCAAGACCAAGGAACCCACCAGCAGCTAGTTAAGGAAAGATTCTAGCTTTTAGATCATCAAGGCAGGGAGATGAGACTCATTTCTAAGCCTTCCAATCTTCCTGCATCCTTGATTTTGCTATAATGGAGTTGTAGATAGAATTTAGTGGCTTGCATGTGTGGTTCTTGATGTTTATTGTGCATGAATGGGTATGACCAGACTTGGAAATGAAGTGCATGTGTGTTCTTGAGTTCCAAATGGAGTTACATGTAGGTGTTTTAGCTTCTAAATGGCTTTGCATGTGAGTTCTAGGTCAAGAAATTGTGTTGCATGTTAAGTAAATGGGTAAAGGTGGTTGAATAGAGATGGAATTGGTTGTCGCATGTCCAATTTAAGCTTCTGGGATTGAGTTTTGGGGAAAGGAAGTTCGTGGGTTTTATTTGGAGCAATGGATTCTTGAAGTATGGTTTGATACCCAAATCCGGAACTACTATACCTCTTCGAATTTCTATTTTTGTAGAGACTCTTGTGGGTTGAATATGAAGTTATGCTCTTCACAAAAGTTGTTCTTCACATCTTAAAGTTTAACATACTTTAAATCTGGAATTTTTGGAGTTGATTTGGGTCACATGAAAATACTTCTTCAAACCGGGTTACTTTGCCCAGAACGGTAGTTTTTCCGATTCTCACGTCTTCTCGAATTTTTATAAATTTTTCCAGTATGAATATTTATAAACTCCCTTCATGAGAGTTTTAAAGGATTTCTTTGGCTACATCATATAAAAATTTCAAAGAATTTGGGGGTGATTTGGGTTCAAATTTGGTGGTTTTCCATTCGGACTCAATTCTTGAAACCCAGAAACGTAGCTACTGGACCTCTTCTTCTTTCCATTTTTATGGAGATTTTTGTGAAGCGAATTTTAAGAAAATTTCCTCATCAAAATTTCTTCCAACATCTTAAAGTATAACATACTTTAAATTTAGATTTTTCTAAGCTGATTTAGTTTGTACGAAAGACCATTTTCTAAATGGGTTTGAACGGTCCAGTTTTGCTGTTTCTGTGACCTTTACACCTTATTAATTTTTCATAAGTTTTTATAGAACGATTATTAACAAATTTCCATCATAAAATTTGCTTAGAACTTCTTTCTCTATAACATATAAAAATTTTGGAATTTTTGGAGATGATTTGGGTTTTGAAAAGAGCTTATTTTGAGAAGCAAGGATTCTGTTCTAGCGAACTGTTTTTAGTCTATCTTTGAGCTACTAAAAGTTCTGTTTACAGAATGATCCAGATTTTGTATTATCATGGGAAATGTTTGTTAAGGTATTTTTTATGACATATTCAAATTTTAGAATTTTCGGAGTCCATTTACTATGTTTTTAAGTATGATTTCTTGAACAGTGCAAAACTGCCCAGTTTTGCCAGATTGCAAATATTCATCATTTTCTATATGAGAACATTGGAATTTCGATTTGATGTCTTCTGGAGACAAAATCTATACAATTTGAGATTTCAAATGAGATATGATTGACCTTGATGTAGCATCAAATGATCGGACAAATGAGGTCATTTATGTGTTGACAGAATCTGGAATATGGTGTGAAAGCTACCATGAGTAAAAGAGTGTTATGATAGTGGCATGGTCTTATGTACACACGAGTTATCATATTTGCGTGTTGTGTCATGTATTGGCTATGTACGAAATATCTGGGCAATGTGAATGTGATGCCTACGGTCGATGAACCGTGGATGCCCCGAGGAGCCTATAGGGAATAACGGGATGCCTAGGGATCGTGTGAACTGGATGCCTAGGATGAGTATACCCTAGATGCCCCGGGAGTGTGATCGGGATGCCATGGTCAGTGGACTACGAAGCCTGCGCGGGCCGATGAGAATACCGGCGTACACCGCGGCAAACCAGAGAGCGCACCGGACTCCGCTAGACGGGAAATATTCCTCCTTGCGTGACCTACGAGCGCGCCGAGCATGTGTTGGGGTTAAGATTTAAACTACAAGTGAAAAGATAAACTGCTTGTATTCGTATGCTTCATATGATTGCCTGTTAACATTGATTTTTGGTCTTTATACTCCAGAATCAGTGATAGAAAGAGGGAGTCATGTACATTGCAATAGGTTTACATGCTGGATTAGATACCGTCCTAAAGGATCCTATTCAAATTGCTTGATACTTATGGTCTTCAAATGTGTTATTAATCATACTTGTTTACCTAAAATGCATATCATGTATGTGTGTCCTAGGAATCGAGAGTTAATAAGATCGGTCGGTTTATAAACTAGTCTTATCTCTTGTTAAGCGTTAGCTCACTCCTGTTGATATTCATTTTTACAGATCTTTGTACATGCCACCGACCCCGTATCCTGATAGTGACAGTAGTGACGATGGTGGTGACGGCAAGTAGTGGGGTGGAGTTGTGGATGTTGTTGCATATAACAGGACTATTTTGATGATGTGGTTTGGCTATGACCGTGAGGATGGGTGATTGGGAATAGTGGAAACCGTGGTTTCACTTGGATGGCATTAGGGGAGAAGGACACCATTTTGACCTCCCTGATGTAGGTTTTGCTATCGTGTTTGAAGATGAAGTCATCCAAATCACCCTTATATACAAATAAAAAGTTGGAAATGAAGATGTGGTATTTTGTTGTGGATGCGTCCACTGAACGAGAAATGTTTAATTTGATTGTGCATTGTTTTCCACTTGTGCTATAAGTGAAAAGATTAAAGAACTCCTTAGTATGTGACGCTCTGGGACGTCTCTCTCTCTCTCTCTCTCTCTCTCTCTCTTACTAAATACACACTCAATATTCATTATACTTATGGATCTATGTACGTATAACAAGAGAGATTTTATGATGATATGGAGAGGGAACAGAAACCTCTATTTTCTAGGATCAACACCACACAAAAAAAAATTGGTTTAGGCGACAAGTTTTTTAAACCAAATTTTTTTACCTTAGGTCCAAATTTTTTCGCCTTAGGCAAAGACAACAAATTTTTTTTGGTCGTGAACCCTTTGTTTCATTTGCTCCGTCTCCTTTGTCTAAGGCGATAATGTTTTTTTTTTATCTTGTCACCTAGATACCAAAGGCAACGAACAATAAAATTAGTCATCTTTGAAACCAAATGCAATAAAATAAAGTTACCTTGCTGATTCAAACCTCCCGAGAGCCATGTTAACAAAAAATAAAATAAAATATTACTACATCAAATTTTCGGCATTCGAGACTAGAGTTGGCTCTCTTAAGTGATCGATTTTCTTTAAAAGTGACACTTAAGTGATCCGAAAAAAACTTTTAATATGAAAGTGAGCGCCGTACACAACCTTTGATGCTTCTAGTGTCTTTCTACTAATGAAAAGCGATTACTTTGTTTGTTAAATCTTGATGAAAATGCAAAGGTGATTATCACCCTTTTCAACATTTTAAGTGAGGACATATCCGGTAAAATAGATTCATTCAAAATAGGCATTTTAAGTAATTACTTGAATATCTTATCATCAATTTCCCAATTAAAATCTATGGTTTGTTCTCTATTAAGTCATCAGCAGCGTAGGAGGATGAAGAGGGACGGGGGCCCATGTTGCCTACAGGTGCCGACACAGGGATAATAACATCCGTTCAGGCATATAGCTCCCACCATGTTTCTTGACCTATTTACCTCCCAAACCATTAGATGTCATGTTTTCTTACGTCGAATTGATGGATCACAATGGTTGCCAACATATCTCTCTTGCGCCCACAAACAAAAATACCCCATCACTTCACCCTCCATCACAACACCCAACTTCAAGCAACTGGCCTCTCTCTCTCTCTCTCTCTCTCTCTCTCTCAGCTCTAACACAATCCTAGAAATGGCCTTTAGGAAACAGAACAAACTACCACAAGCTGCAGTCATCAAGCAAATCCTCAAGAGATGCTCGACCCTAGGCAAGAAATTGCACAGCTACGACCTCCAGGACGGCCTCCCGTTCGATGTGCCGAAGGGCCATTTTGTCGTTTATGTTGGGGAAAGCAGGAGCAGATACATCGTCCCGTTGTCTTTCCTATCTCATCCCGATTTTCAGCGCCTGCTCCAACGAGCCGAAGAAGAGTTCGGGTTCGACCATGACATGGGCATCACGCTTCCATGCGAGGAAGTCGTTTTTCAGTCTCTCACCTCCATGATTAGATGAGTCGGAGATCAAGGAGATGGTGGCGTTAGGATGGTGGGGGTTTTGCATGGAGAGAAGATGTTCAAGATGAAGCTTGCAAAAGATTGACGCACCTCGTTTTTTTAAAAACTTCGCTCTATGGTTAATCCTAATTTTTGGAGCCATTAGGTTCTATTGTGTCTAACGACTCTCTAACTTGAAGTCCCAGATATTTTCTGGGCTTCATTTGTATAAAGTTGGTGGTTTTACCTCATCAGGGTGGGTTTTGCACTTGCAGCCTTTGACTAAGAGGAGAAGATGAGGACTAAATGCAAGCTGTGTGTGATTAAGATGGATTAATAAAATATCACTCTCTCTCTCTCTCTCTCTCTCTCTCTCTCTCTCTCTCTGTTACTAAATACATAGATACTATTTATTATACTTATGGATCTATGTAGACACATAAGAAAGTTTTTATGATGATTTGGAGAGGGAAAAGAAACCTTTCGGCAAATCAAAGACCGTTGAAGAACAAGTACTCTCTATTCTCTATGATCAACACCACACACAAAAAATTTGGTTAAGGTGACAAATTTCGTTTGTCCCCTTTGGTCCAATTTTTTTTTGCCTTAGCCAAAGACAAAAAAAAAATGTCACAACCAATGGGGTGATTGGTCGAGTGGTTGAGAGTTCCTGGCCTCAGACAGTAAAACTGATGAGGTCCCAGGTTCAACTCCCACCGATCACATCTCGGGGGCTTACCCGGTGGCATTGATCTTGTACCCCACCACCCCGAGGAATAGTCCATTGCACGTGGGATACCTCGGTTATCAAACAAAAAAATGTCGCAAACCCTTTGTTTCGTTTGCTCCGTCTCGTTTGTCTTAGGCTGTAATTTTTCTTTTACCTAGTCACCTAAATACCAAAGGCGACCAACAATAAAATAAGTCAGTCTTTGAAACCAAATGCAATAAAATAAGGTTATCTTGCTCAAATGCGAGAAAGCTCATTCTTTTCGGGGGAAAATTCCAAATAAAGGCATGAAGTGACCATGTCAGTCTCAAGTAAAGGCCTAAAGTAGCCATAACCGTTTCAAATAAAGGTCTGACCTCTCCGGTCGCAAGCCCGCTAAATATTCTTTCCGGTCAAGGGCATTTACGTCTAAAGACAATTTTAGTTTTAATTTATCTTTTCATTTTTTCATTTTTTCTTTCTTTTTTTTCTTTTTTTGGTTTGTTCTTTCTTCTTCACCGGTGGCCGAACGCCAGCCATCGGTGATGCTTGAAAAGGGCTGGGCTAGGGTCACCCTCGCCCAATCTTGGCAAGGGCTACCCTTGTCAGCTATAGGCGAGGCGAGGCGGGCGACCCTGGCTCTAGGCGAGGTAGCCCTCGAAAGCCCAAGCGAGGTCGGCAAGGGTCTCGCCAGCCTTGCTAGAGAAAAAGGAAAAAAATTCAAAAAAAGGTAAACGATGAAAATGCCCTTAACCATCCAGAAAGTCAGGTCATTCTTTGAAATTGACATAGCCACTTTATGGCCTTATTTGAAACAAGACAACTTCAAACTCTTTTTAGAAAAAATGAGGGCGCTTCGAGTCTTTATTTGAAATAAAAACCACTTTAAGCCTTTATTTGAGAAAATAATGGCACTTCATGCTCTTATTTGGAATTTTCCCTTCTTTTCGCGGTAGCTTGACCCAAGATAAAAGCTCATTGCATTGATGAAGTTTATGGCAACAAAAATTCGTGGCCTTTAAGAGTCAATTTCTAGGCCAAATTGGTACCAAAGGCGACCAAAGATTTATTGCCTTTGGTAAACTTTTTGTAGTGTCATGTTTAATTTTCGGGCTGGGCATGACGACGAACGAGTGTATTTTTGAAGTGTGTATTTGAGAGAGAGAGAGAGAGAGAGAGAGAGAGAGAGAGAGAGAGAGAGAGAGAGAGAGAGAGAGAGAGAGAGAGAGAGAGAGTCAATGTAGAAGATTTTTTGGGAGAATTGTCCAAAAAGTCTTAAACCTATTATATGGCCGTCAATTCAGTTATAAACTTTTCAATTTCGTCAATATAATCATAAATCTTTTGATAATTTTTCAATGTAGTCCTTCCAGTCAATTCAAGCCTGAAGGCGCTAATGTGATGTGACGGTTTAATCAACGTCGGTCAGCCTAAATAGTAGGGCTGATAAGTGACGTGTCCGATCTTAAACGAAGCGGCATGATTTTGCAATAATTTGCAAATTTTCTGAATTTTTAATTGAGAAGAAGGAGAGCCACATAGGGAGGATTGTGGGCTACCCAGAGATCGACATTTCCCTTTGTCTTTTGTCGGCTCAGCCGTCGGTTGCTCCCTCTGATATTTCGTTTTCTCGTCCTCTGCAATATGCTCATTCTCCGCACAAGCTTACAAAACTGAAATCCACTGATTATCTCGCCCTTTCTTCTTCTCTTTATTTTGTTTTTGTCGTTGCTCCTCCTAATTTTATTTGATGTTTTGATAATTTATGTACGTGGATTTTCCCTTCCAGGAATAGAATTGTTCGTTGCATCTGGATAATTTGCCTTACGACGTTTGACCCACGACACATTCAATGAGTAAATTAACATGGATCCATACGTGCCTACATAAAGTAATTAAATTATGGCTACTGAAAAGGAGTAACACTACATAAAAACAAGAGTTTTCCAACGAATTTTCCAACGAAAAATTCGGCAAAATTCGTTGGAAAACGAATTTCCAACAAAATTTGCGACGAAAAAAAATTCGTTGGTAATTCGTCGTCGCAAATTTTTCCGACAAAAAATTTAAATTTTCGTTGGTAATTTGCAACGAAATTTTTTCGTTGGAAAAATTTCGTTGGAAAAATTCGTTGGAAAAATTCGTGAGAAAATTCGTTGGAAAGTTCGTTGGAAAATTCGTTGGTAATTATTCGTTGGAAAAAACGTGGCAAAATTCGTTGGTAATTTCCAACGAAATTCGCGACGAAAAAAAATTTGAATTTTCGTTGATAATTTCCGACGAAAATTATTTCGTGGCAAAATTCGTCGCTAAAATTCGTTGGAAAAATTCGTTGCAAATTATTCGTTGCAAAAATCGTGGGAAATCCGCGAAATTTTTCGACAAAAAAATACAATTTTCGTTGGTAATTTCCGACGAAAAAAAAGTTCGTTGGAAATCTCGAATTTTTCCGACAAACAATTTTCATTTTTAATTTCCAACGAAAAAAAAATTCGTTGGAAATCGCGAATTTTTCCGACAAACAATTTTTGTTGTTAATTTCCAACGAAAAAAAAAATTCGTTGGAAATCCCGAATTTTTCCGACAAACAATTTTCGTTGGTAATTTCCTACGAAAAAAAAATTCGCTGGAAATCCCGAATATTTCCGACAAGAAATTACAATTTTCGTTTTAAATTTCCAAAGAAAAAAAATTCGTTGGAAATCGCGAATTTTTCCGACAAACAATTTTCGTTGTTAATTTCCAACCAAAAAAAAACATTCGTTGGAAATCCCGAATTTTTCCGACAAACAATTTTTGTTGGTAATTTCCGACGAAAAAAAAATTCGTTGGAAATCCCGAATATTTCCGACAAGAAATTACAATTTTCGTTTTTAATTTCCAACGAAAAAAATTTGTTGGAAATCGCGAATTTTTCCGACAAAAAATTTTCGTTGTTAATTTCCAACGAAAAAAAAAATTCGCTGGAAATCCCAAATTTTTCCGACAAACAATTTTTGTTGGTAATTTCCGATGAAAAAAAAATTCGTTGGAAATCCCGAATATTACCGACAAGAAATTACAATTTTCGTTTTTAATTTCCCACGAAAAAAAAATTCGTTGGAAATCACGAATTTTTCCGACAAACAATTTTCGTTGGAAATCCCGAATTTTTCCGACAAACAATTTTCGTTGGTAATTTCCGACGAAAAAAAAATTCGTTGGAAATCCCGAATATTTCCGACAAGAAATTACAATTTTCGTTTTTAATTTCTAACGAAAAAAAAATTCGTTGGAAATCGCGAATTTTTCCGACAAACAATTTTCGTTGGTAATTTCCGACGAAAAAAAAATTCGTTGAAAATTCCGAATATTTCCGACAAGAAATTACAATTTTCGTTGTTAATTTCCGACGAAAAAAAATTCGTTGGAAATCGGGAATTTTTCCCACAAATAATTTTCGTTATTAATTTCCAACGAAAAAAAAATTCGTTGGAAAAGGCTAATTTTTCCGACAAACAATTTTCGTTGGTAATTTCCTACAAAAAAAATTCGTTGGAAATCCCGAATATTTCCGACAAGAAATTACAATTTTCGTTGTTAATTTCCGACGAAAAAAAAATTCGTTGGAAATCGGGAATTTTTCCCACAAACAATTTTCGTTATTAATTTCCAATGAAAAAAAAATTCGTTGGAAAAAGCTAATTTTTCCAACAAACAATTTTCGTTGGTAATTTCCGACGAAAAAAAAATTCGTTGGAAATCCCGAATATTTCCGACAAGAAATTACAATTTTCGTTGTTAATTTCCAACGAAAAAAAAATTCGTTGGAAAAAGCGAATTTTTCCGACAAACAATTTTCGTTGGTAATTTCCGACGAAAACAAAAATCGTTGGACATCCCGAATATTTTCCGACAAGAAATTACAATTTTCGTTGTTAATTTCCAACGAAAAAAAAATTCGTTGGAAATCGCAAATTTTTCCGACAAACAATTTTCGTTGGTAATTTCCGACAAAAACAAAATTCGTTGGAAATCCCGAATATTTCCCACAATAAATTACAATTTTCATTGTTAATTTCCGACGAAAAAAAAATTCGTTAGAAATCGCAAATTTTTCCGACAAAAAATAGCAATTCTCGTTGGTAATTTCCGACGAAAACTAAATTCGTTGGAAAAATCGTATATAAATTCATCCTTATTCGTTGCAAAAAATCGTGGGAAATCCGCGAAATTTTCATCCAAAAAATTACAATTTTCGTTGGTAATTTCCGCCGAAAACAACATTTGTGGGAAAATTCGTTGCAAAATTTGGCGCTAATTATTCGCTGCAAAAATCGTTGGAAATTCGATTTTTTTCCATAAAAAAAATTCAATTTTCGTTGGTAATTTGCAACGAAAGCTATTCATGACAAAATTCGTCGCTAAGTTTGCGACGAATTTTGTTTAGCGACAATTTCGATTTTAAATCTAATTATTATCAATATTAATTTTTTTTGGTAAGAAAGCAATATTAATTTCTACAATGCATAAGTTGCAAAGTCTCATATGATGATATTCGATATTCAATCTCATAATACGAGGAGGCAGCTAAGCACTAATGAACATCAGGTGATACATT